GTTCAAGAAAACAGTAAACTCAATGATACAATTATGCCGAGGTTCATAGAAAGCCGTACATGGGACAGATGGGTATATACATATTTCAGTATTCATATATTGAGTTACATTTTCACTGGATGAAGGGAGGCCAGGACAAGCTGGCCAGCGATGGGGGCTACGCACAGGGCTTCGCGAGTGAGAGAGCAGCAGCTCTGTTGGGTGGGCTAGGGTCATGTCACCTACTATAAGTATTCAAGTGCTCCCACCCTGCCCATACTCCTAGCAAGTTTGAAAGCCTTAGGACCAAAATGACAATTTTTGCACAAACCACGCCCCTTATGGACGGAGTGCGGTCCTGCCATCCACTACGCCCACTAGAAGTGTTCCTATCCTGGTCCACGATAACAGGAGCTATGATTTTCCACTCAAACACCTCCCACTGGCCGACTTTGTGCGGAGTCCGGTTTTGCCACACATCAAAAGTGTTTCCATATTGCCCTCAGTATTCCTACCAAATTTGAACGTTCTAGGTCCATGGGGAAAGGAGCTATGATTTAGCGCTCCAACCCGGAGAACGTCCGTTGCGCGTGTCCGTCGAAAGTAGGTCACCCCGCCCACTTTGCGCGCGGCGCATCACACTGAGGTCTCGAGATGGCATTACAGTACCACCAAGTGCCACTGGAGCAAATGATTTGCATTTGTCTGTGTTATCTTCTTNGGAGGCGGGGTTCGTGGAATCTTAATACCGTACCCAAGGAATGTAGATTTTGCCACAGTTTATTCTTCATATAGCATNTTGAAGTGATACCGCGGGCCGACTCGCCGCGTACGACGGCTGCGGCGTGACCTAGTTTCGACGGACACGCGCAACGAAGCGCACCCTCCAACCCTTATTTCGTGTGGACCCTCGTGTAGGCAGAGTCCTGTTTTGCCACACATCAAAAGTGTTCCCATCCTGATCTTTTGCAGCATTTTTAGAGTGGTAAGCACGCTGATCCCATCCTAGGTGTTCTGTAGAAAGACGGAGCATCAACCGACTCATAGAAATGTACAAGGTTGGAATGATATAGATTCAAACTAGAAATACGACCATCACTTCATAAAAAAATGTGAAGATCCTAGTAAAAAAATAAGTAAAAAAATCCTAGTAAAAGCAAAACACCTTGTTCTGCAAAGTGATCTGGTTCATCGGAAACAGTTGCACATAAGAGTCGTACACATTTAAACAGAAGTGCAAATCTCTAAGAATGGTCGGTTATGCCGCACATCAAAAGAAGCAAGGAATCAATCAATATGCTGCCTCGGCCACTCGAGCCACATGGCTAATTGGGTGATCGAGTAAAGAAGTAAAGTAGAAAATTGGTGCCAAATGTGCAAATCCAAAGAGAAATTCGTTGAGTGTTTTCATATCACTGAGTAGCTATTTAAAAATGCATTCAACAGTGTGAGTTTTCAGATGTTTACTTCATATTGAAAAATGTGATTCATTCTCTTGTGCTTTGGGGCGATATCGGAAGCTATTCACGAAACCCGAAGGTCCAGATAACAAACTATTCCCAATATACGTGATTGTTCGCAAACAGATCAGCATTAGTACTTTCGATGAAAGGCGTAGGTTCCTATGAACCTCGAAAGTCTTGCTTGAAAAAGCAAGAAAACATACGATCTGCGTCAAAATAAGCCGCAAACCGGGATTTGGACGACAAATTCGCTTTTCCTCTTGAGCTCAGGCATACAATTTGCAAACTACAGAAAAGAGCTATTTGTAGAGTATAGGCACAGCATTCACTGACCATAGGGATTAACTCAGATTTGCTATTTTCACTTCGAAAAGCCGCTCCCGTTTAAGATTGGTGTATGACCAAATTTGTCCATTTTGGAAAAATAGGTAACAAAATGATCAGTAAAACATGAGGAAAGCAAAGGTGGAATATGATAGCTGCTCCACAACTTCCTGAATACTTTCAATAGGACGGATGCCCTCTAGTGATAATTATAGCGAGCCCGCTGCTTATGACGTGCCCCCAGGAAGTTTGATGGACCGAGGACTTAGTTTTTCAGTACACCTTTTTATAGAGCTTTTCGAGCTGAGTTGAACTATATGACCTTATATGTGAGAAAAGATTATAAAGAAAAGACAAAGAAGACGCGAAACTGCGTTTTTTCAACGTTTTTCTTTTTGAGTAACTAGGGACCTAGAGCCAACACAGCAGCTTACCGTCTTACTGAGCGGCCACCAGAAGATTTGTCACAGCCTTTGCACTTTTAGCCTAACTGTATGCTACCGTTCTGTTGCGAACGCAGCGAAGGTAACTATTTGCTCGTAAAGGCTCAGTGACTGCGCTCATGGCTATATACCTACTGCGGCCTACCAGACGCAACCGCACTTCGGAGGACATGGAAAGCGTCGTCAGCGAAAAAGAACGGAAATTGAATAGTCTCATGTGACACAAGGAAAAATCCTGTGGGCCTAGTTTATTAGTTCATTAGTTGTCGCAGCGATTGTTTGTTGAACGACGTCCAATCTATAATGTTCACTCAACATCAACATTGCGATATTCAGATGTTATTAACCAAATTTCGCTTTCATTGGACAGTTCATTCTGCATTAGGGATCTCGATGCCGAACAATTTGTCCAGTAAAACTGAAGGATTTCGATGTTGGATCTTGAACATTTTCAGCACTGAGAGGTATGTCCCTGTAGAGTAAGAAAGCTGTGATGGAGAAATTACTGAGATCACGTAAGTTATGGAAAAACTATTGACAACCATGGTGACTATTTGAAATGATACGTTCGGAATGAATGCCATATTCATAAGTTCACCACGGGCATCTAAAAGGTGTTGTTAGTGATTAGAACAGGCAATCGATAGTTGTGATTGATAGTTTTCAAGTGTGCAGAAAGACAATTCTGTTTAAAGACTGAAGAGGCTTATGATAACATTTCTGATAAGCCTTTCGACCAAAACTCTGCCCCGATGGCACAGTATCAAATAACCTCGCGTTCCGTCCAAGCTTTTGCTCATTTTCGCTTGACATACTATTATATGCAGCTTAACTTTCTTCTACAGGGGCGGAATTCGGCCATTTTCGAACTTTTTCTTCTTTCTTTATCTTTGCTTGGAGCCAGCACACACGTTTGTTGGAACACTTTCTTAACACGCACCCTTCAAGCGACAAAGGCCGACTACCGAGAGATGTTCCTTTGGAATTAATTTATTGGAATTGGATCACTCCATAAAGTGCTTTGATGAAAAAAGCTGCATAGAAAAGCTCACCTAATGATCAAGATATTCCTTCCAACTTTTCATTTTCATCTTTTTCACATAACCACACCGTTCCAAGATATTTACTGGATTTTGTTTCAAATACCAGTGATTGTTTGTGTATGAATTCGCAACTGCATTATTGAGAACAAGTCCAGCATGCGACGACCCACAAGGCGAATGTTCAGTAAAGGCCCTTGGCTCTTACAGGAACCCCCTAGCTTCCCCACCGACGGCATCTTATCCTTGGACAAGGCCCTTTTTCGCCGTGTCGTATATGTGACAGGAACTTGCTTATTAAAATGGGGTTGTGCCGTGCCGGACTACCTAAGGAGCCGAGTGCCCGTTCTGAAATTTCGTTTCTGTACGGCGACCCCATTGACACGATCGTATACAACGAAAATTTTGATATGGCATTTTGCCAAAAATCGATAGTTGATACTTTTTTATGGAGCTTAATGCTTCTTACCGTGGCACTTTGTTGCTTTTGCGTCTAACTTTGCAACTACGAGCAGTTGAAGCAATATTGTGGCAAGATTGGAAGGATTCCAAAAAATCCTGAAGAAGTGTTACCGCCACAGATTACTGATATGTTGCAAGGGCTGGTTTTGAGGAATAGACCATCGCGTCAATGCCACCTGAAATCATTCCAGACGATGATTTTATTTCGACGCACTTATCCGGGCGTTGCTTAATGACACCACCCAGAAAGCGTTAACATTGATCTGGATTTCCATTCTGTAGAGGACGGGAAGAGCTATCGGGTACGTTATTGCGGAAAGCAGGCGGGTGGAGGCGGGGTTCGTGGAATCTTAATACCGTACCCAAGAAATGTAGATTTTGCCACAATTTATTCTTCATATAGCATTCATATCCTTGTCATAGAAAAACCGGAGTCGATAGCAACGTGTACTTGGGTGTGATTTATGATAGAGAGTGGGACTTGGTGGCTGCATCCAGAGAAAAATCTCAGGTGCTATGTCGATCGTATGACCAATCAAGTTACGATTCACAGAGAGCTTAATTTTCATGAACAACTCGTACAACACATTAGTGGAAACAAATACCTACTGCTTTAAAATCTTTCATTCGAGTCCAGCAGAAAATATTCGGGGCAAAGTCATACGAAAATGCAACTTTCCAAAAACACATGGTCACCGACGGATATCCTGTTAGTGTCTTCCAGTTCAACACTCGCTTACGGTATTACAAGTGAATAGACGGAGGGTTTATAGTCTTTTTACAGTTCGTTTGTGCGGCGCTTTTTGTGTTGGTTATAGTTTCTGTTACAGAAAAACTTCACACTCCGAGAGTGCATGACAGCAAAGGACAACCTTTCGGTGCCAGCATGTTTCACCCGAGGGAGCAAGTTTTACTTGGTCGACAATCGAACGGTACTATAAATCTAGATAATGTTCCTATTCCCAGTCATTATCTTTACGACCAGCTCCGACACCTCTTGAAACCATGCTCAACCGGGTGATAATGGCTAAATTGGGGGCCACCAACTCGATCTGAAACCGGAACCTGAGATCATGGATTTAGTTGATATGGGGAAGACATTGTTTCAGGGACCTTCGAAAGCAGCTCATTGTCCGAAAGCTGTCACCCTGCGAGTTGATCCCAATGGTCACATACTTTACTGGATACCACGGGTGAGTTTCCAAACATCTTATGGCTATTTTTTTATTCTGGATTTCTAACCTACAGCCTACAGACTTGATGCGAACGTAAATGATGTAGATATGTAGTTCTAGGTATACTAATAGAATGACTAGATGGTGGTTACGTATCCTCTATAGGTATCCTCACTTTTGACTTGTTATGGTAATAGTTCTTTCAGTTCGAGTTTTTGTCTCTATGCATCATATTTATGTTTTTGACGTCATGTCGAATGACGTACTAAACAATAAACAATGAACAATATGAGCGCGCCCTACGAGGGCACCATGCCGACCTCGAGTGTTTCTCCTTCGTTTTATTTGTTGACCTGTTCAACACTTTGGCTCATTTTTCGCGGTGTCTTGGTTGTTCCCCAAGACAGAAAGTTTCGTTTTTCGATCCTCACTATCGATGCATACTCCGATTTTTTTTGGAAAGTCTATGAATATGATCTCGTATAACCGCCCATCCCGGCGCGCGCTCCGCTTATTGAGAAGGTTTGACATCCTTAGTTCAACAGCCTTCGAGCACTTTTTCCCAGAATCCAGGCCGTTTTTTGAATAAAGTTGTGTATAATTGATCACTGCTCCCCATCCTGCATCCGGCGAATCCTCCGGTATTGAAGGGGGTGACAGAGGCCCCGCCTCCTCGTTTTCGGTTTTACCGACCTACCATATACTGTGGTCGGTACTTGTGGTATGTGAGTCAGCATTCATACAATAAAGGCTGCTAACTCACATAACACGAGAACCGACCGGTCGGTAAAGTCGAAGGCAAGAAGGAAAGGACTTCTGTTATGCCCTTCACATACGCAAAGCGGCTGATAATGGGTAAGTAGCGGCTCCAGAGTATGCCCTTTTTGGCGTACATCCCGCCCACCATGAACATTTGGCCATCGTTCTTTGTTAACCCCTCACTTTTTAACGGGTTTTAAAACGCTTTGAACAATGTTATGACTGTCATAGCTATGAGCTCGCCAGGAAGCACCGATTTGTTCGAAAGCCGTGCTCGCACATTGTCAGCGGAGCTCTGCTTAATTTAGGCATGCCTTGCACCTTAGCTTAACTTATTTCCACTTTTTCAGAATTCAAGAATTTAATGGAATTGACTCTTGGAATCATTGAGTAAGCCCCGCGCAACTTGATGACACTGCGAGTAAGCAAGTGTCATCAAATTATCAATCCATTTGTTAGCCGTTTCCTCACCCTTGCTTATTTTTCATGGTTCGGACTTTTCGAAATCGCATGAGGAAGGGCAGCGTTACGACCGCTCATTCCGGCGCATGTCTTGCCTCCCACAGGCAACGCTCCTCTAAGCCCACGTGTGCTTGTTAATCTTGCACGTGCTTCAGAAGTTGATCCCATCTATCTCAAATTCAACCCTGACAGAACGCGCCGCTGGCGCCTTATGTGTAGTAAGATAAACGCCAATTTTTTAGATTCTTCTCTTCTGTCACAGCCCAGGCCTTCCTCTCAATCATTACATCTGTAAGTATTATGAGGTCATAGCGCTTCCTCCCCATACGTTCTTTTTTTACCTGCTTTCGAGCTTTTCCAGCACAGGGTAAATTTTTCTGACTATCATCTGCGGAGTGCCTCAAATTATTGGGATTAGAAGGTCATACTGGTGGGATTTTCATATGATCTCTCTTCAGAATTCAAATCTTCCACCTCTGTCAATTTCGTCTTTTTTTGGCTTTTGACTTTCTGGGGGGATCTTTTCGTGAATCGAGTTCGTGAGGAAGTTCAGCTCTTGCGTTCAATGCCCTTCACTGCTATGCCGAACATGTTGTAGTAATCCGTAAGTTTTTCTGATCCCTCTTTCTGATCGTCGTTATATGGATGATTGACTTATCGTTGTGGGTGACCGGCGAGGGTTCACCAGTACAACACCTTATCGCCATCTTATTTTCACTTAGATACACCCATCCTTCTGAGCTTTTCCTGTGCTCCCCTGATGCTGTGAAGCACACTGTAATTGACCATTCTCTTTCATGGCCGCCATTGTAGTATTGCAGTCTGTTCGCTGTTTGTTGTTGAGAGTAAGATGTAGCCATTGTAATCACTTCCCGCTCAAGCTCGCTACACCTTTCTCTTGCGATCATATCGTAACGGCTTACAGGCTTATTCTTATTCGGTTTCTCTCATGTTCGCTTCTGTCCGGCTCGTTCTTCGCTGATATGGGGCTCGTCGAATTTATCGGAGTATCACTACGCCCCTTTTCTCTAGTTTCTGGTCAACGAACGGCGTTCAGATACCTAGGCAAAGGCTCTCTCATTCATTCATCAGTTTATCACAACTCGGTAGGCATTGCATTCCGGCCAAATGACTGAGGTAGGGGTCTAGCCTAACATTTTTGGTTTCTAACTTGTATTTCTCATCTTCAACCGGCTTATCAACCTGGATCTGACGTCAGTGCTAATTTTCCTTTATCCGCAAGGAATGATTTGCTCAGTAAGCGTTGATCACGCGGTCATGTGTGTAGGAAATGCGCTTATAACCTACATGCCAGCCCGGAAGTGCGAAACCCACATTGTAATGTTCACATGCGACCAAAATTTCTCAAGTACTGCAGTTATCAACGGAACGAAAATTTGGAGTGTAACGATTGCTAAACCGAATTTTCTTTTTTTTCGAAATCAAGTGGAATAATTTGTGAAGGTTGCGGGCATTACGAAACTACAGTTTAACAGATAAACGATGCATCGAACTACATCTTCATCCAAGACATTGTGGACGTCCGGATCGGAAGACAAGCTGCTCATGCTTATGTACGTATTTCCTTGAAGACACGAAGTGGTATTCAGCGGACTGATACCTGCTAACGAACTACTAAGAATAGCTATCATTCATTCATTAATTTTCTACCATATAACGTGGAGAGGTAACCGTTTCATATTTTAGGAATCTATGAAGAAGAACGACAGTAGCACAATGACTGTGGTGAGCAACGTGGACTTCGTTCATCCTGTCCTCACTACCTTTGTGTACTCGAAAGATGATCCGGTAGGAGACATATCATAATGGAAAATATACTGAAGAAAGTCACAGGCTTTAGAAAAGTGTGAAGACCTGGGCAGATTTTCTTCTTCCATTTTCGATGAACGTTCGAAGGCAGCATTTTGGTGTTCTCTATCACATAAAGAAGTCACTTGCACCCTTTTTTTACGCCTCCGAAACGAAGGAACTCTCGTTGAACTGGTAAGTCTGATTACTCCTGCCATTCGATTTACGTTCGACACCTCGTCATCTTTAGGGTTCCCTTCAAGATCGCTAAAGAGAGAGGCAAAAGTTTAGAGCTGTGTAAGGTTGAAAGCAACCTCACCCTACACTGCGCGCTCCGGCACGCGGCGAACTCGGCACGTAGATCCGTTCGGATAAAAAGTCCCGGTTGTATGCTCGACGATATCGTCAAGATGATCATATGACCCTGAGTATGCACTTTAAGGCTAGAAGAAAAATCATTGTTTCTCTAAAATTGGTTCCAGGTCATCTTTTCGATCATTAAAATTCTGGTGATCGAAAAGATGCCCTGGACTCAATTTAAGAGAGACACTTTCATTCCTACTATCCCATCGGGAATAGAAGCGGAAGAAAGAAGTGAAAAGTCACAGCCTAAGAAGAGCCGGCTAGATCTGAACGAGCATCCGTGGCTGTCGCCATTACGAAAAAATCTTTCGGTCATTAGGTCAGGATCTTTAGGAGGGGGTGTCCTTGTCCAATCAAATGGTTCTTCGCGGCTGCCGCCTACTATCAATTTTGCATAGAGTATGACCTCTTAGGCTGGTTTCGAAAACCTACCTGTCTCACCAGAATATGCCTTTCTCCCTGAGAAATAATCCTGTGAATTTACAGTTTAAAAAGAGCTGTGATGGCGAGCTCAAAAGATTCGTCAATTGGAGACGCGGAAACACTGTACCAACCAACCTCCTCAGAGGTGACCCGGAGGCTTTTCTGCTCTGCAAGTCTGTATTTTCATTTCCTAAGACTTCAAAGTTTCAGGGCAATGTGCCGCTGAGTGAAAAAATTGCCGATAAAGATTTGGTTGAACTCCTGCTGACGAACGGAGGCGAAGGACGTGGAGTGAGGAGAGTCTTCGAAGAACTGTGAGCTCTCTGAATTTCCATTGCATTCGTGCGAAATACATTTCTCTTTCAAACGCAGGCCTTCAAACTCTCCGACGAGAACAAAAAAATGTCCCATGAGGTACGAAGAAGTTTTTCTACGAATTGACGACCGCGGACTTCACCATTTTTTGTTTCGTGCTCCTGAGACCACGCAGAATTTTCCTGGCTTATTTGAAAAGGTACATAGATACGGGGAAATAATAGTCCCTCACTGCCTTAGCTGACGTTCACATCCAAAAGTTGACGAGTTCCGATCGGGATTATGGAGGCTGCAGAGGTTGCGCTATTCGCGCAGAGACGTACACTGTTAGCCTACTGTAGCCAACTGCACACAATGGCCACATGTTTAGACAGCCACCCTTTCCCCTTCCAAGTAACTTTTGCCGTCACATTTTCATCGGGCCCTCAATTGAAATTTCTTGACGCCTTTTAATACTTTGAACACGCCGACTTTTGGACTATTTGGAAGATTTTGGACTAAAACTGAGTGACCCAGGCAATACTACACCTTCCCCTAGTTTTTTCCTCCGACGAGTACAGTGATAGGCAGCGGTTTCTCGAGAATATTCCATTCTCTAGAATTNTTTCGGCTCATCTGTTCGAACTGTAAAAGTTTCCACAACTAAGCTGTGTGCTGCCAACAAACAGTCCATGCAGCAATTGATTTTACAGCATCGCTTGCTGGCGATAGTTGTAATGAGCTCGTTATTACCACTTCACAACTGCATTCATCGCAACTGCAGATGCCAATTTTTAGCAATACTTAAGGTAATTTTGCGTTACGTAGGTCTCGCATGTGCCGGTTATCCCGATATGTCGCTGAGAAAATTCTTCCCTTTCTTTTAGCCATTTTGAGGAGCGCTCCGAACCGCTTGTCGAGATAGTCTATTGCTTATTTCGGCTTCCTCGACTACTCGTCTTTCTCACCCAACTTAGCGATTGCTCAACCGCTTCTGCAATATGCTTTTCCTACGTGTGTAGTTGTTGTATTTCTTTTTTGTTAACCATTTTTCCTTATTCTTCACTCAATTCTATTTGTAATGACTGGTGCCGGTGCCCCTTGGGGTGCCGGAACTCTTCCCGGAACTCCCACAGTAAGCGGCAAAGGTCAGGCGACGGGTACCCTACCCTTGCACTGAGAATTAGAACCTTCCCCTTCGAAGCGCGCGACTACGCGCGATCGGGTGCGGCGACCGCGACGTCGTTTTCGGGGACTAATACTGGACCCCTGTTGCTTGATGTACTTCTCAGCCTGTCTAACTGCAGCGCATCCTCTGTGCGTAGAGTAAACAAACGAATGAATAAAAATGCGAACAACCATGCACTAACAGAATCCCATCAAAAAAACACACCCGATCATTATGCAGCTGCTCAACGTTCATGGGTAGTTGAGGCCATGAGAATCCGTTCACTTGTTTGGAGGGCTTTCAGCTGCGAGAATGGAGACAAGAACATTACGCGCAAAGGCTTTCTTCGCTTCTTGCAAGTTCTCCAACGCGATCCAAGGCTGAACGAGGCCAGACATCCCAAAATCAGCGAAAGAGGAATGGACAATCTTTTGAAATCACTCGGTTACCCTAAATGTGAGTAGATTCTCTCTTTTCTCTCCTCTTCACTTGATATTCTTTCTTGCAAAAACAATTTCCAGCAAGCCACCTTGAATTATTTTTTATCCGTTTCTAAGTGAATACTTCATTTAATCCATCTTGTTGTTTTCGAGGTGCCGACATTTCGTTCCAAGTCTTTATTCACTACCTGTGGAGTGATTACTGCGTCGATTCTATGAATTTATCCCAAGAGCAAGGTGAAGTTTGCCGGATTTTAGCCTGCTACTTTATTGATTCCTGGCAAGCTGGTCTACTACTAGCAGTAGCCACCAATTCATAGTGTTCCTAATATTCTCTCGAGTATCGTTGAAATTTATACGGTTTTGACACTTGCTTTTGTAAATCGTGTAACTTTTCAGTTGAGGAGTCAATGCATGAACCGCTCCCTTGCTATTTCATCAACTCTTCGCACAACACGTACTGCATTGGTAAGGCTTGCAATAGAGAGCGTGTAAAGAATGAACAATAAAGCCTCAGGGTGTTGATCTCTCCTATTTTGGCTTCCACCCCTCACTTGAACTTTCAGAATCGCAGTAGTATTTTGAATGTGTATGTGCCCTATACAATCAGTTGGGATAGCTAAGCTATGTATAAACAAGACAAGACTCCCATCCCCCCGACGACCTCATACCACATAATTTCGTAGGGAAGAAAGGACTGGCTGGCCTATCGGCTACTAACCCGAGACTCGATTCACAGACCGTACGTGGGGTAGTGAGATATTCGACACCGCATTAGATTCTATGGTTACTTCATGGTTGTCAATCCAGGTGACGAAATGTTTCTGTAAGGTAACGCTTGTATCACATGCTCAAGAAATATTCCATATTTATCGAACAAGCCATGAAATAGAATCCAGTTTAGATGGAACTCTGAGTATGTGAGGTGGTGGTTTACGTACATGTGTTGTGCTACCGCGGCCCTAGCCATAATGCTCTACTGGAAATTTTAGTCTTCCCCTTATCAACGCGCGACTGTGACTGTGATAGAATAATAGCATCCGATGTCTGAAGAGAATGGGT